AGCAAAAGTATGCATATGTAGAGACACTTACAGGATACTAACGCGAAGTTTTCAGACCTCTACGTAACGAACACCCGCTGTGCTAGAACCTTGCTGCGCAACGATAGTTGCAAGCATGCAAATGGGTTTCCTCCGCCATCTGCCGCCGAAACACACCTATACCCTAAGCCCTCATCCTAAATCTGAACGGCAGCCAACTTATACAATTTTCACAGCTGAACCGTCTACATGGCTTGGGATGTAAGGTAGGGAGCATGGTTTTAAGAGCTAGGTAGTTCCAGGTTGCGAAGAGTGCAGGTATTGGCCCCTCTGAGTTTCCTCAGGGGTGCAATGCACGTCATCGTTTCTTTTGAGGGCTTGGGGTTTAGAGATTCTTCGTATTTGTAGGTTGGTGGTTTCGTGTGTTCGTGCTGATCAGGCTGATAAAGGTCTGAATGCTTAGTAACTCCCCTGTAGTCCCTCTATACATAGTATAATTTCGACCCTTCGTTGCTTAGAAACTTTCGTCATAATTCCACTCGAAGCTCTGTGACAGTCTAAACATGTAAATCCGGAAAGGCACAGAACACTAGAATGTAGGGGCCTCAATAATGAGAATCGGGTTCCGTTAAAGGGCCCCCCTCAGAAATCTATAAGGGTCTAAGATGTCGGGGCCTCAATAATTAGAATAGGGTATGTGGGGGGGGGGGGGGGGGGGGGTATTATATTAAACCATAAGTTCAATATTCAGCCCCTGCATGACAGAGGCGAAAGGGAGGAGACCCGTTCAAGCAATCGCTGAATGCAGTGGAAAATGGAAAAAAACAGCAGGGCCGCTTCACGGATTTGTGCCGCAAGCCCCACATCCTAAACCACAAAGTGTAAACCTTCCCCGGGAATTGGTCAGGACCACAGTTTGATGGGCTTTGGCTACTGAGCCATTAAGGCTTCAGGGTTCAGGGTTTGCGACCTGGTTTAAGATGTATTTATGGTCTTGGTCCCCTCCTAAAAGTTAAACGTTTAGCCTCCTTATTGTGGTCCATATAGAAGCCCAAAAAGTTAAAGTCCTAAGAGCCAACCAGAAGAATGCCAAGAACAGCTAGGCTGGCTCCGGTGTACGAGTCGAAATAACGCCCACGCAAGACCTTGCACCCACGGTGACTTCACCTGATGCCAATAGGGCCTCCAAAAGCACATATGTAAAGATAAGAATACGGATATCCCTTATAGACTCCCTTATAATGAAGCCCAATAATACGGTAGGGAAATCCCTGAAAACTCCTTCTGCTTATGTCCTTTTTGGGGTCCCTAAGCCCTAAGCCATAAAATTTACGCACGCGGACTTCACCTCCAAACGGCCCCACAGCGATGGTCTGCGCCTGATTGAAATTCTGACTGCTTCTGGATGTCGTAAATCCTAAACCCCTTAACCCTCAGCCCTAGCTCGTAGTACCGTTTCAAAAACCTATTAACTAGTTCATGGTTGGGATGGGGCTAAAAACTTCATTTTGATGGCTCATCGGGTTCAAGTCCCCCTAACAATGCAAAATGCTACCCAATTATGACAGACAATACCAATACGACCCCCTTCTACTCGAACATCTTATAATTTATGCACCTTCTACCACCCCTAGACCCAAGACTAACCTAGGAATAAAAAGGGTGCCCTCTTTGGTTTAAAGGGGCGTATAAGAGAACCTAAACTCTAAAAAAGGGAATAAGGGCCTACTCTGGGTCCTAGTAGAACACACCTTCTACCACCCCGTTCCAAGCCCGACGAAAAGATCTTTGCGTTCCGTCTCTCCGCGTTTTCGATTTCCCAGGTACCCCAATAATCTTGGCTTTAGTGTAAGGGTTCTGTGGGAGTCGGACCGAATACAATTAATTAAGGAACGAGAGGGTTTAACTCTCATAATGTTGCGCTGAAGCTTGCCCTGAACCTAAACATCTTAAACATTTAGGGTTCAGGGTTTAGGGTTTAGGATATGACCCAAGAGAAAAGGGGTGCCCTTTTCGGGTTGTCAGGGGGTTATAAGGGTGCCTAGACCTTACAAAAGGGAAAAAAGGGCCTACTCTGGGTCCTGGCACATTGATGAAGGATCCTCAGCTTCCTAAAGTTGAGGATAGGCTTGCTAAAGTAGGAGACCCATGAGACTTTCGCTCGTGTGTATACGGGCGTTTCCCAAATTAGGGGTACCGTATTTTGGGATTTGGGGTCCCCTATTTTCGGAAACTCCCATATGTACTTATTAACCCCTTAAAGGTGCTTCGGCCCCTCGGAGGACCAACAAAATCCTGGCACTCAACGAACAAAGCGATGTTGCGGTGCTGTCTCTTTCAAGCGACGCGCAGCCACCAGACAGCATTCTAGTCTTTATGACGGTGTGCACCGAGAGAGACTAGCCGCCGCCTCAATGGTGGACAGTCCAGGAAATGGCAGAACGATTGAATCGGCAAGCAGAACTTGATACCCCAGACCTTTACTCATCCTTCATATGGATGGCCCATATGGGAGTTTCCGAAAATAAGGACGCTTATGTAATACCCGAAATAGTAAGATCTTATTATAAGAACCCTAAACCAAGGCACCCCTAAATTTTCGGAAACTCTTCCCATATCTGAAATCTACAAGGTTCCAATATTTTTGCATCATACCCTAAGGGTCCGAAGGACCCCAAAATTAGGTACTCAGATTTTGGATAGTAGTTCTTTTCGGGGGAGTATATGAGTGTTAGGTACGTGGACCCTTAGAGATAGCGACTTGAGTTCAACCGGAGGCAGGCCCTAGAAAAACCTGGACGAATGATCCCAACTTACTTTCACAATGCACTCGAAAAAGCAGCTTGAACTCGCATAGTACTGCCCAGCTAAACCCTAAATCTAGACAGCTAGCCGCAGTAAGACTGCACTTCCACTTGTCCCGAGAAACTCCAGAAACCGCTTATAAGGATATCACCTACCATTTTCTTCGGGCTACTACAGATGGAACCCCTTTCAAGCTGGAACATGGATTTTGATTTAGGATGATGAACGCGGAGGCGGGGATATGTCCTAAACTTTACCTCTAGAAGGGTATGAGGACACTGGCTTTCCAAGCCTGGGTTCTTGTTCAGGAACCTAAAGTTGAGTTACCATATGGCAAGGCAACCCCGGTGTTCACTATCGATCCCTATGCTGGTCCAGTAACGTAACCTAAGTTCCTTAACCAGAATCCAGCTGAGGGTATGAGGATAGTGATGCTCGAGCTTTCTGACATCTTTGAAACCACGACGGCACCCTTCTAGCGACATTCTTTAGCTACTAGGGTTTAGCTACTCCACGACTACAGAAATGCCGGAAGGAGTGTTGCTAGTTATTCGGCTTCTATGTTGAACTACGACTCTAGTACTCCTAATTATTTGGGCTTGGCTACGTAGCCCGAAACCCTCAACCCTAAACCCCTATACCCTAAACTCCCAAACCCTAAACCCCGAAATCCAAGCCCTACTCTAGGCCCCACACCCCTGCTTCTTCTCTTCGCTTAAGTCCCCTGAAGCCTCCAAGTGAGGAACACTGTTGCACTCTCTGCCCACCGACTCCCATGGGGGCTGAAGCTGCATTTAAAAAGTGCCTGCTGTGTCGGGGCTCCAGGGTGTTAGTGGGTTTAGGGTTTCGTGGCTTGGTGGTTTAGGGTTTAGTGGATTTATGGATTAATCGTTTTACTGGGGGGTAGTGGTTTCACTGGGTTTCATGGGTTTTGGGTTTTAGACTTTTTATGGGCGGCTTCAGGGTTCTAGGCTTTATGAGGAGGGTACGCTCTTGAGGAGTTCGGGGTGAGGGGCTTCTTTAGCACATCCGAGGATTCTCCGCTTCTTTGGACTTCAGGTCTTGGATTTCAAGTTTTTCGGTCTAGCACTTCAGGGGTTAGGATAGCTTCAAGGTTGTCCAACTGATTCCGGGTTTATGGTATATGTGTTTTTGGAAGGTTTAGATGCTTAAGGTTGGCGGGACACTCGAGCTTAGGGCTTTGGGTGTCCAGTTTCCTCGAGGAGTTAATCACCAATCGATGGCTTCAGTTTAGGCTTTCCTTCGGTTGATGATCTAAATCTAAATCCTGCAGTACCTTAAGAACCCTAAACTATGGGAATTATGGTCTATTCCCTATCATAGGTAATGCAGGATTTATATCATCAACAGTTGCACGCCCTTTACATACATGTGTCGGCCCTTTTCGGCTATACGATGTTCGAGAAACTCAGACACCCTAAACTCTAAAACCTGACTTGTCGAGTATCCTGGGGAACTCAGGTTGACCTGTGGGAGTATGCTGGGGTGTTCGTACCACCGAAAAGGGTAAAGCTCACCTACTCTACTACCAGGTTATGCCCGCACACACAAAACCCTAAGCCTAAGACCTAAGTATGCTCAAAAGGGCCTGGCAGAGCGAGACTCACGGGGAATCTGATGCTTTCTTCTGCTGGGATGGAGGGCTTAGGGTTTCAGAATTTAAGGTTTTGGAGGGGCTTAGGGTTTAGGGTTACTTTTTTTAAAGTTGAACTGCACCCTCTCTCCGGGTTTAAGGCTTAGGGTGTGGCTTTAGGCTTTAAGGCTATGGGGCCCAGGTACTGTAGGTGCTTTCATGGGCTATTTGGCTCCTCTTTTAGGGCTTTGTTCTAGGTCTCTATGCATGCCAGCATGGCTTTCAGTGAGGATCCATTCGGCATCTTGCGTACATGCTACCCGATCGTCATATCAGCATAAACCCAGACTCTAACCCTAAGGGTCCAAGTACCTAATAACCATACATTCTCCTGAATATTCACCTAACATAACTCCTATCCTACTGTAAAGCTGTAAGGTTCCTTCCTGCCTCGCAAGGCCGAGCCACGACCGCTGCCATCGAGGCACAAGAGTGCATTTTGCTGCTGAGGGAAAAGGCTGTGCCTCGGCCCTCGTCTTAGGGTTTAGGTAGTTAGGGTTGCTGCCAGTGTCAGCTGCCCTACAGCAGTTTGACACTGGTAGCGGAGCCTTAGTTACGAGCCATGACGACCGAGCCGAGTGCAGACGCAGCGGCGCCTGAACACGACGACGCCTGGGAACCTCAGGACCCCTGGGCAGCTCACGATCCCTGGACGACGTGGCGGACCGGGAACAGTGACGAGGGCGAGACAAGACCGCCCGGCGAGAACCACGGCGCCGATGTGAACGCAGCCGATGGCCACCGTGATGGGACCACTGTTCACCCAGTGGACAGTGGATGGGGCGCGGGCTCTACACCGGCCAATGGGGAGGCTAGTGTGCGTGGGCCTACGAGGTGGTCACCTGAAGCTTGGCAACAGTGGCAGATGGGAACGTGGCGCCCCGAGATGGGCGGGCAACTCGAGGACGGCGGCGGCAGCACTCGCCGCATCTCGGTGGACACCAACCAGTCCACCATGACTACGAGCGAGGGAGGCCGCCAGAACACCATGTGGGGACACGGCGGCTGGCAGCACACCTGGCATGGAGCTAGCTGGGCCGCAAGGGGCCACGGCGCGGGCGCTGGGGCGGCCAGTACCTCTACCACGGCCCCGTCGACTCCCCCCGGTACACGACCAGGACCGAGCGCTACGGCATGGACGGGCACTACCTCTACGAATGGACCGGCACGGACGGGCGGAGGTCACGAGGGAAGTGGAGCACGGGGCCCCTCGGAGAAACTACTGATACCGTCGTTCAGTGGAAGTGGCGAGGGCGCGGAGCTGGGCACGAGCGCAAGGAGTTACATCCGACAGATAGCTGCGTGGGAGAGAATGACGAAGCTGATGCCCAACCAAAGGGCACTTGTGCTCTACCAGCACCTGGAAGGCGCAGCGTGGGTGAACGCCGAGGCCCTCGATGTGGAAAAGCTCAGCGCCGAGGATGGCGTCGACTACCTGCGCGCCTGGGTCACCCAGCACTACTTGGATGTGGAGGTGACGTCAGTGGGCCGCTCCTTGTCGGACTTGTTTCGTAAGTTGCGGCGGCGCTACAACCAGACATTCCGCGACTACACGGCCGAGTTCAATCGACTTCTGGCGCGGGTGGTGGAGTGTGGCTGCCGCTTGCCGGATGTGGCGACGGCCTGGCTCTATGTGGACCGGGCCAGTCTCGACGAGGCTACGGAGGTCAGCCTGCTGGCCAGTGTGGGCAACAAGTACCAGTTGGCCCAGCTACAGCAGGCGGCTATCATCCTCGACCGCTCGATGAGGAAGCCGTGGGAAAAGGCCGGCAAGGATGGCACCCGCCGGCCCCAGTCGGTGAACCTGGCGGAGGATGCGGAAGCCGAGGGCGGAAGCGAGATTGGGGATGAGGAGGCGCCGACCACGGACGACCCTGACCTCGACAACGGGGAGCTCTACGTCGCCTACATGACCGCGAAGGCCAGATACAAGGACTCCACACGAGCCCGAGGAGTCGATGTGGAAGCGGTCCGCAAGACCGCCGAGGAGCGAATCAAGGCGGCAAAGCAACGGAGCTACTGTTCGGTTTGCGGACAGAAGGGCCATTGGCACAAGGACCCCGGCTGCCCTGGCCCTCCGAAGCGCAAGCCCGAAGTACAGACCGTGCACGTGGCCCACGAGATCGACAACCTCAAGGCGTCGACCGAGGACCACGGCCTCCTTGCCATCACCGACTCTGCCTGCTCCAAGTCAGTTGTCGGAACAGCCTGGTACCAGGCTTATTTGAATATGACCAAGGGCCGCCAACGGGAGCCCGAGATGATCAGCGAGCGTGAGGCATTCCGTTTTGGTGCCAGCCGTATCTACGAGTCGAACTTTGCCGCCGTGATCTTCATACCTTTAGGCGGGTACTGGGTGGCGGTCAAGACCGCCGTTATCCACGGCGACGTGCCGCTGCTCATCTCGAAACCGGCACTGGCCAAGCTGGGCACCTGTCTCGACCTGGAGAACGACACGGCCGACTTCCGCAAGCTCGGCATCAGCAATGTTCGGCTGCTCACTACGCCTTCCGGGCATCCGTCTGTCTCCGTGTCACATGACGACAAGGTCCCGCCGGGCCCTGAGGTGTTGAAGCCCTGGGAACCACCAGGAGTACAGATCTTCAGCGCGACCCGCGAGGTGTACATGACGGTTACTGCTGGGGAGGGTTTTGGGGAGAGCCTAGCACCGCGACCTAGCACCGAGTTCCCCCGTATTTTCTTCGAGAAGAAGCTAAGCCCCGAAGCCAAGAACATGCTGGTTGATGATGCACTACCTCATGATACCTTCCTCCAATGGTGGCTCGACAACGCCGGCCGCGACGACCCCACGGCGGCGGAGGCCATCAAGACCGCCCAAGTCGCCGAGATGTCCCTGCAAGTCGGAGTACAACTCTTGCAAGCGGCCATCGAAGGTGGCAAACAACAAACTCACTACAGCGCGACATGCTACTACAAGTCCTCGGAAGCCTTCGTGAGAGTTGGGGCATTGCATGCGGGAGCCAGAGACCGTTGAGCACAGTTTGTCATCAGTGGCAGGACCATGTGGGCACAGGTTATCCAGCTGGGTATCCAACTCTATGGATCGGCCGCAGCGTGTTCAATCGAGAACATCCAGCTACTTTGTGCCCCCGCCTTGTGCGGGATGTCGTCCCGCCCTCCCGCGATATGGAAGATGTCGAAGACCGAGCTGCAGGCAGAGTGCGTGCGGCGGGGCATACCCACAATGCCCCAGTGGACGGTCCTCGAGCTGAAGCACCTCCTGGCGGAGGACTCCCGGAGCAACCCGCCCGAGGAGCCCACGCTCCCCAAGGGCCTCACGAGCATGTCCCGCGACGAGCTTGTCAACGAGGCCGGGAGACTGGGACTGACGATCGGGTCACGCGAGACCAAGGGGGCGATCACTCTACGGATCCGGGACGCCGTGGCCCCGGACCAGACGATCATGACCATCGGCCGCTTCAAGGGCTCGAGCTACACCGAGATACCGGAGAACTACGGCAAATGGGCCTCGGACGAGGAGAGGGCCAATGGGAGCAACATGCACCCCGAGATGAAGCGGTTCGTGGTGTGGCGACGAGCGCGCCGACAGCGAGAACAGACCCGTCCCGCCCCGAAGACCAAGGCCCAGGGCTACATGAGGGTCGAGACCGAGGCTCGGATCCCACCGCCACCTATGAGCGAGACCGGTGCATCGGCGTCCTCGGCCTGGTCAGTGGTGCAGACGAACGAGGATACAGCGTGGAAGACGGACCAGATGGCACCCACACCGACCGGAACAACATGCCGGGCTCCCGAAACCTGATGTGGACTGGTGGGGACCACTCCGGCGGGAAGCTGTGGATCGCCGACGAGAAGGGCACGGTCCCTCGCCGCGAGGAGGACGACATCTACATCTACGGCAGGCACGTCGACCCCAAGGGCCGGATTGTTGAGTTCGACCCAAAGAGAGGTGGAGCGTGGTTGCCTACGTTGCCCGCAGCATCCCACATGCGTCCAAGAGTGCCAAGAACACCCTGAAGGACGTGGGGTTCCCTGTGCCTACCGCTGGTGACCTCAAGGACTACAAGCACCGGAACCACCTCGACAACAAGTCCACCACCGAGGGCCAACGACGACCACGCCGGAGCATGCGACAGAGTCTCTGGAAGAACGTCGCGGCAATCTGTGTGATGATGGCGACGGCCACCTCTGTTATGGATCTCTATGTCAGGGAGAACATCATGCCCCGCCGGGAGCCCAAGGTTGCGATTCTGGAGGTCGGCGACGTGCGCGCGACCTGCACCGTGGTGGGACATTGCGAGAACTACCTGGACGTTGCGGAACCCCTGCTCTACGAGGACCTGGCCAATGCCGACCAGCTCGAGGAGATGGGTGTTGGCCCGGTGGAGACAGCGACCCTGAGGCACGAACCTGGCGAGCTGTGGGTTCACGTCACGAAGGACTGGGAGGACGAGCGAGTGTATCGCGACATCGAGGAGGCCGCCGACCATCAACTACGTGGAGGACGAGCCGTCGTCTTCCAACGAGGGGGAGGCGACCACCACTGTTGGGCACGCGCTACAGCCGGGTGGAAAGAAGCCGGCTACACCGTGAACTACGACTTCGACCATGAAGGCATCGAGTACCTCCGGGTGGCCGTGCCAGAGGAGACGGATCAGTGCAACGGCACAACAGTCGCTACGACCGAGAGCGTCTACGTCGGGGAGGCCGTGCAGGGCGACGACCAACCACCAGAAAGGAGGGCACCACCCGATGGCGCCAAGAGTATCCGGTTTCCTACGTCCGTGCCGAAGCACATCGCCACGAGTCTCCGGCGACTCCACCAGAACTTGGGACACCCCTCCGAGGCCGACTTCGTTCGACACCTCCGACTAGCAGGAGCCAGCCGGGAAGTCTTGAAGGCAGCCCGTACCTTAGAGTGCCAGACCTGTGCCCGGACCAAAGCGACAGCTATCGCCAAGCCGGCTAAGATCGGATCTTGCCTGAGTTTCAACGAGGTGGTGGGAGTCGACCTCTTCTACGTCCACGACACCGAAGGACACAAACACGAGCTCCTATCCATCGTCGACTACTCCTCCGCCTACCACGTGGTCGTGCCTGTGGCAAAGAAAGATACCTGGCATCTCGAACGAGCATTTTGCCAGGGATGGGGAAACCACTTCGGAGTTCCTCAGGTTGCCACGGTCGACTTGGAGAACGGCCTCCAAAAGTCATTGGCCCGTGTTGGAGATTGGTCCGGCATGCAACTGAAATCCGCTGCTGGACAGGCCCACTGGCAGGCCGGCTTTGCAGAACGGCAAGGAGGGATCTGGAAATCAGTGTTCCACCGAGTCAACGAGGAGATGTCCGTGACCAAGGCGGAGATCCACCTAGCGGTCCAAGCGGTGTCCCAGGCCAAGAATGACCTCATCCGAGCCAATGGCTATAGCCCCCGACAACACGTTTTTGGGGCTACCGCGCGGCTGCCAGAAGACCTACTTGACGGGCCTCATGCCCGTGCCGCCCGCGACGACCCGGTCATCGACGACAAGCACGCGCGGGAGGTCGCATTGAGGACGGGGGCGAGGCCCGCTTTTCATCATGTGCAGACGGATGATCGAGTCCGACGCGCACTGGCAGGCCGAGCGCGAGTTCTACATCGTCGACCAGAGGTCGGGGAACAGGTGTTTTTCTTCCGGCACCTGAAGAACTCCAAGCGAGGGGTGTGGAAGGGCCCCGGAACCGTCATAGGTGAAGAAGGAGCCAACTTCTGGATCACCAAAGCTGGACGTTGTGTGCTCTGTGCACCAGAGCACATACGGCTCGCCACGGCCGAAGAGTTGGGACAGGCTTTCACCATGAGGGCGGCCCGGGAAGACCTCGAGCGCTTACTGGCCAAAGAAATAGACGACGATGAGGCGTTCGCAGAGGACATGGAGGTGGACGCCGTAGAGGAGGAGATGGACTACGACATCGAGGACAACGACGACATCCTGGCCGAGGAGATGGGCGTCCAACTGGCAATGGAGGAGGACGAACTACAACCCAGCCGCGGGAGCCGTCGCAGCTTGGAGGGACCAAGGGCGTCTATCCTGAAACGCCGGCGGCAAAAGGGGCCACCAACCGAAGGCGAGGCCGCGGTGCCCCCCCAGGAAGCTCACATGTTGCGGCGTGCCAAGACGGAAAGATCCCGAGCTAAGCAGCTCGAGAAGGAGATACCATGGCACCAGATCCCTGAACAGGTTCGCCACCTCTTCATCGAGGCGGAAAAGAAACAATGGGCGGAGCACATCAGTCACGACGCCCTTGAGGTCCTGGACTTGAACGCCAGCCGCCGTGTCCGGGAGCAGGTGCCGAAGGAGAGGATTCTCCCCTCTCGCTATGCGTACCGCGACAAGAACATGGGCAAGCGCAAGGCCGTTCCCGACACACCGTGGCGTGCCAAGGCACGTCTGGTGGTAGGGGGACATCTAGACCCCGACCTGGCGACCGGGAACATTTCCACCGACAGCCCCACCGTGAACCGCGCCTCGCTTATTCTTCTCCTACAACTCGCGGCCTCATGGAACTGGTGTTTGACCGCGGGTGACATTCAGGCCGCCTTCCTCAACGGCCTGGCGATCGGGAGAGACCTCTACATGGAACAACCCCGTGGCGGAGTGGAAGGGCTGGATCCAGCCCAGCTGCTGAAGATCAAGAAGGGAGTCTTCGGACTTGCTGAGTCCCCTCGGATGTGGTACGATAGACTCCGCGAAGTCCTTTCCCAGGAGGATTTCATGATCGAAGGAGTGGTGCACAAACTGGTGCCCTGCCCGCTGGACCCGTGCGTCTTCTGCCTACAGACCGAGGACGATCCCAAGCCGAAGGGGTACATCGCCATCCACGTGGACGACCTGTTGATCATCGCCCCGCCCAAGGTCGCCGCCGACCTCAAGGAGAAGATTAGCCTCCTCTTTCCGGTCGACGACTGGGAAACCGACGACTTCGACTACATTGGGTCCCGTATCACAAAGAAGGACGGGAAGATCACAGTACACCAGACCGCCTTCGTGGAGGGCCGTCTCTTCAACATCGACGTGCCTAAGGACCAGCCCGCCGACGAGCCCGCCACCGAGGAGCAGGGGATCGACAACCGGTCACTGATAGGAGCTCTGAGCTGGCTCTCGAGCCAGACAAGGCCAGACCTTCAGTGCAGCGTGGCCCTCGCACAACAGCTCCAGAAGGCCCCGACTACTCAGGACGTGCGGTTCACCAACACAGTGGCACAGCGTGCAGCTGCTTGCAAGGATAAAGCGCTTACTCTACACCCTATCAAGCTGGAGGATGCCGAGCACGAGGAGAGCGAAGAGGGCTTCCGCTTGACGCCGGAGGAGATCCGACAAGGCGAGATGGGCTACGACCTCTACACGCCGGAGCGACCTCGACAACCGAAGCGCAACCGGTCCAAGCTTGCGTCCCAGCTTGGCTACCTGATCTGCCTCGGCGAACGGAAACTGGTCAGGGGAGAACGCTCACCATTGAGCATTCTCGAGTGGAGGAGCCAGGCATGCCAACGGGTGTGCCGCAGCACGTTCGGAGCCGAGACCATGTCGGCCGTGGAAGCACTGGAGGCAGGGCAGTACCTACGGGCACTACTAGCAACGCTGGTAGAAGGGCCCCTGGTGCGGCTCGCTCAAGCACGCTACTTTTGCCCCCTCCTCTCGCTGACCGACTGCAAGTCCGTCCATGATCACCTCCACCGAGCTGGGCAACCGAGGATCCCCGCCGACCGTCGGCTGGGAATCGACTTGGCTGCACTTCGTCAAGACTTGCAGGCCGAGGTCCCGAACGGAGAGTCCAAGCAGACCGGGATACCCCTACGATGGATACCGACCGAGATCCAGTTAGCGGATATACTCACAAAGCCGAAGAAGGGGGAGCCCTGGTGGAGCATGATAGACGAGGGAGTGATTTTACCCTTTACGGGAGTTGTGCCAAGCCTCCGAAGAGAGGCAGGAAAGTTTTGAACCAGTGTAAAGCTGTAAGGTTCCTTCCTGCCTCGCAAGGCCGAGCCACGACCGCTGCCATCGAGGCACAAGAGTGCATTTTGCTGCTGAGGGAAAAGGCTGTGCCTCGGCCCTCGTCTTAGGGTTTAGGTAGTTAGGGTTGCTGCCAGTGTCAGCTGCCCTACAGCAGTTTGACACCTACACCCAAGTACCTTACTATTAGGTCCTTTGCTGCTGTAGACTTGGCTGACTTCTGAACCCCTCCTACAAGTAAAACTTTTTAGCCTCCTTATTATGGTTCGTATAGAAATCCCAAAAAATTACAGTCCTAAGAGCCAACCAGAAGAACGCCAAGCTAAATATAAACATGAACCTCTTCGTAAAGACATAGAGCGGTGGTCCTCGATGACCGCATATGCATAAGGATCTCACGATTTAGGGTTTAGGGGTTTAGGGGTTAGGGTTCAGGGGTTTAGAGTAGAGCCCCCCTATGTACAGTGTCTATTTGCGTGTCTGTGTGCTCTTTGGGGGTTCCCTTATGCCTTATACTTATCACAGGAATGACACGGTGAGCCCTGCACCCGCAACTTGCAGGCTAAATACATTCTACCCCAGAAGCCCAGATACGCTATGCGGAGTGGGTTCAGGCTGTGTTGGGGCTTAAAGTAGGGTTTGATCCTTTCCCTAACGGTCGATGTACCCATGTAGCATATACTTTGTGCCCAATGTACCTATACAAGGAGTGCTTTAAGGCCAATGCATATACTATGTGAGTACAGGGACCCTTACTTGTAAAGGGTCATGGGACTTAGTAACTAGGGTTGTAATTAGGGTACAACTATACTTATAATTACTTGTAACCCCAATTGGGGTACTTACAACCCTACTTACTAAGTCACATGATCCTCCAAGTAGGGTTTGGGTAAAGCCTAAAGCCTTAAACACCGGGCTCCCAGAGCTGCTACGGAGGAAGCGCGCCTTGGGCGCTGCGTGGCAGAGGGGAGCCCTTCTTTTGGTAGTTGCTTTGGAGCTGTATAGGGTTTGTGGACCAGTTTATAAATATGAACACACACATATATATATATATATATATGTATATGTATATGTATATGTATATGTATATGTATGTATGTATGTATGTATGTATGTATGTATGTATATATATATATATGTGTGCATATTATGGAGGTCAAATGCTTTGGGCTTTAAGGGATTTTGGGTTTAGGGCTTGGGGATTTCAGGGGTCTGGGGTTTAGGGCTTTGGGGGATTTACAGAGCTTAGAGCCACCTCTCACATGGATTACCATCCAACGGTTGTATACAGAATCTAAGCACGTATATCTGGCGGCCAAAGACAATAGTCCACCACGTCGGTAGTTGGTACTTGGGCGCTTAGGGTAAGGTGTTGGGTCAAGCGGTTGAGGTCTAAGCCCTATACCCCCAGAGACTCTAATATCCCTTATATAATTAAGGAATTGAATATACCTTACATCATATGAGGGATCCTATTATAACTTAAGGTATATTCCTTAATTAAGGGATATTGGGGTCTCTAAACCCTTACCAATGAACCCCCGAACCGCGATCCGACATTCAGCACCCTACACCTCGGCCTGCGACCTTAAACTAGCATGCCCAGTAACCTAGAAATAAAGAGGGGCTCCCTTTTTGGTATTGGGTAACTCAATAAGGAACCCAGGACTACAAAACGGGAATAAGGGTACTACTGGGCATCCTAGTTATAGGATCCTAAATATAAACTACAAAAGGGAACTGCTATGGAGCCTCTAGGTACGGTTCAGGAATCCCCCATTAAAGAGGCCTTGCTACAAAGGGTATAAGGATCCTAGCTTACACCTCGGCCCTCAACCCTAAAGCCTTGAAGCCCTGCGCCCTTAACCCTGAATCATCACAGCAACCCACTCTGGGAGCTTTGTTCTCCTCTAAGATCCGAAAAGCAAAGCCAGAAAAGTTCGAGCTTCAGTATAGCAGCCATATTTCGGAACCAAGAAAGTTTTGCTTGCCTGACTTCTGAACCCCTCCTAGAAGTTGAACTTTTAGCCTCCTTATTATGGTCCATATTGAAATCCAAAGAGTTAAAGTCCTAAGAGCCAACTGGAAGAACGCCAAGTTAACCCTTACACGCAACAGCATTTCTGGTCGATCCTCCGATCCTCTAATTTGGGGCACTATACTTCTAAGGGTACTTATAGGAACCCCCATTAAGGGATCTACTTTTTTGATCCTCCCTGGGTCTGTGCATTTCATGTGCCGGACCCCGCGGCCACCACCCTAAACAAATTCCTCGATGATGGACTCGGGCTCCTCGGATGATCAGATGCTTGGAGGGTCGGGGGCCTTGGTAAGTAGCAAATAAGTAGAGTTATAGTTAACTTAAAAGGGATCCTAAGTGCGGTTATTATAAGTCTCCAAATTAACTAGTTACTGAGTCCTCCGACCCTCCAAGGGCTTGACAGCTTGGCTTTGCCGGCTTAGGGGTTGCAGGGATTACCGGTGTAGAGCTTTTGGGGTTTGGGGCTTAGCCGTTGAAGAAGTCGGTTTGTAGAACGCAAAAACTGCACAATCCGGTTGGATTGCACCTGACCGTCCAATGTAAACACACGATTACATGTTCTTTCTTCAGCATATTCCTCAAAAGGATCGTTCTGTGCGGTAACGGCTTGTTGTAACCATTGCCGCGTTGCTGCAGCCCAGACAGGCCAATTATACACCGCTCTAGCAAATGCGCTAGGATCGCGATGGTGCAGCGGAACGCTCGTGAAGCATCTCCAGGTGTTGCCATTGCGTACGACGTAGATGAGGTTGTAATCCAAACCAACACCTTGCGGCATAATCGCCCTCAAAATTGCTTTCATATATGTTTCCATGAAAGCTGAAAAATGTTGTAAGCGGCGATCGCTTGTTGAGCAGTCCTGTTAACGGGCGTGGCTCCACCATTATAGCCAAGCCGGTGATTCACCAATGCCGTTGCTGCATCATCCGTCTCCACAGCATCAGCCAAATAGGGAACTACCCAGAGACTCCAAAACCCCTTAATTAAGGAATATACCTTAAATCATATTAGGATCCCTACTATAATTTAAGGTATATTCCTTAATTAAGGGGTTTTGGAGCCTCTGGGTACCTCTGCGCAATATGATGCAGACGTGTAGAGCTTCGGACGCAGTGCATCGCACAGCTTAGCTAAGATAGGATCTACTCGTGTCATGGGAGGCCAATCTCCTCATCATGGCAGTATGAATCCTGTTCTGTGACGCAGGAAACGGCGGTCGGAAAGTAACATGAACTGATGATATTAGGGCCCTCAAAAAGGCACATAAGCAAAAATTAGGATAGGGATATCCCATATAAACCCCCTTATAAAGAAGCCCAACAAGGTAGGGATATCCGCTTAAGATGCTTATGCTTGTGTGCCTTTTTGGGTCCCCAGACAAATCATCATGACCAGGGCTACTCCGACAGCGGCATTGATCTGCTGCACAATGTGTCGGAACATTCGTGGGATTGTTCCAGCGCTATAGCCGTACATCCAACGTTCAAGTGCACCAATATAAAGTGCGCGCAGTCGGAATAGGGTTTTGAGGTACATTCTACTATAACCATGTCACGGACCCCCCGCCCCACAATAGTATTGGTAATTGTTAAGGCCCCCCATATTAGATATGTCATTAGGAAAATTGGGATGGGGAAGGAGTCATCAACTCTTAACCCTAACCCCTAAGCCCCCAAACGCCCAGACCCTAGACCCGTAAGCCTAAAATCCTGATCCCTGGCACTGAACCCTAAACTAGGGTTCGATTTTCAAGTGTCCCTGAAGTTATATAGAAATAAGGCTCTAGAGTAAATCTTCCCCAACTTAAGGGTGTAGGGTTTCAAGGTTTGGGGGTTTGGGGGTTTAGGACTTAGGCGTGTAGGGGTTTGGGGGTTTAGGGTTTAGGCGTTTAGGGGCTTAGGGGTCTTGGGGTTTAGGGTTGAGGGATTTAGAGGTTGAGGGTTTAGGGGTTTAGGGGTTTAGGCATTCAGGGCTTAGGGTTTAGGGGCTAGCTTGGAAAACAAAGAACAGGCTAGACAGAAGCTACAAACAGAGCCTTCTTGAAAAGGCTCCGCATTAACCACTATACACCCTAAACCGACAATCATTAAACCCTGAACCCCAAGCCCTCCCCCAACCCCTAAACCTTACATTATAAACCCCTACAGTACTAGCCAGAAAGTTGGAACATGGGTTTAGGAGGATTAGTGCTAGGATCCCTTATACTGTACTTTAGGGTCATGAGGATACTAATGTTCCATACATCCGCAACCCCAAACCCCCATTCCCCGACCCCTGCCCCACGCTCTACCCCCAGACCCCCGGGAGGATCGAGAAAGTAGATCCCCTAATTTGTAGCCCTATACTACTAACGGAACTTGATAGGAACCCCTATTAAGGGATCTACCCTAAACCCTAAACCCTAAAACCCTATAGGTCGCTTAAAGGGACCCTTAAAGGAACCCTTAAAAGAACCCTTATAGGAACCCCCATTAACGGATCTACTTTTCGGATCCTCCAAAGGGGGTCTGGGACTGTGTGCCCCGAGGACAAGGCCTCGTCCGCAGGATCCTCCCGCATCAAAGGTGGCGGCACACTGGATCGGCCTTGTTCGGCTTGGCTATATATATCTATATATGTAAATATACATACATATGTATGAACGTGTGTATATTTTATATATGCACACATATTACCGATGTATGTATTGTACATACAAACAGTTACATACTTTTGCACACATACGTGAACTCTATCTCATAAGACTCAGACTCCAAGTAGGCAAATAGTACCTTAAGTCTTACCTACTCCGGGCTATTGGAAGTCTTAGGCTTGGGACTTGTGGGGTTTATTTTAGTAGCTGAGTTCCTACGCCCCTCAAAAGTGTACACTTTTAGTTTTATAGTGGGTAATATTATCACCCAAAAGTGTAAAGTGTATCCACTCAGCTACTAAGTTATGAGGTTTG